CACCCCCGCCACACCCAAGATGGCGGCCAAGCCCACCCCTCCCCCCAAGAACGACCGGGACTGCCCTTACCAAGAGTGCACTTTTTTATTCCTTTTTTTTTTTAACTTTTTCTCTCAGTTTTGGGGTGGGGGGAGGGGCTGAACTTCTTATTTATAATTTCAGGGGCTCTCCCCTTTCACCATCCCCACCCCCCTCAGCCCCCAACACGGGGGGAGGGGGTGAGGGGGGAAGGAGGGAACCCCCAACCCTCCAACAGAGCAAAAACCCCCCCCAAACTGGGACCGGAGGAAAAAAAAAAAAAAATAAACCCCGAAAAAAACAAAACAAACCAAAAAAAGCCAATGGAACCAAAAAATATATATATATTTATAGAGGCCTGCGGGGGCCGGCGCGGGCCTAGGCCAGCCCGAAGCCCTCGGAGCACTCCTGGATGGCCAGCAGCAGCATGTGCCGCAGCTTCTCGTAGCTCTCGTAGGCCGGCAGGTCCAGCTGGTTGAAGCTGGGGACACACCCGTGTCACTGTCACCACCCCCGGTGCCACCCCGCCCTCGTCGCGCTGTCCCCATGTTCCTGTCCCAGCTTTGTCCCCCCGCCCCGAGCTGGTGTCACCGTCCCACCCCACGTCCTGCTCCTCGGGTGTGTCCCTGTGCCAGGGTCACCCCAGTGCCACCCCACCTGTGTGTCCCCTGTCCCCATCTCTGTGTCCTCCTGTGCCCCCTGCCTTTCATGTCCCCCTGGCCCAGGTGTGGCAGAGGGTGGTGGTGGCTGCGTGTCCCCTGATGTCCCCCCGTGTCCCCTCACCAGGTGTGAGCCCAGGGCAGTGCTTGGTGTCCCTGTGTCCCCCCTGTGTCCCCCCGTGTCCCCTCACCAGGTGTGAGCCAGGGGAAGGTGCTCAGTGTCCCCCATGTCCCCTCCTCTGTCTCCCATACTCGTGTCCCCATTCCAGGTGTGGGCTGGGATTATGTGCTCAGTGGCCCCTCACATTCTCCTGTCCCCATGTCCCTCCTGTGTCCCCTCAGCAGGTGTGTGCCAGGTCTGGTGGTCACTGTCCCCCATGTCCCTCTGTCCTCCTCTCCATGTCCCCATGTCCCCCCCATGTCCCTCACCAGGTGTGGGCCGAGCGCAGTGCTCAGTGTCCCCATGTCCCCCCATGTCCCTCACCAGCTGTGAGCTGAGGGCAGTGCTGTGTCCCCATGTCCCCCCATGTCCCCCCGTGTCCCTCACCAGGTGTGGGCCAAGGGCAGCCAGTCGGTGTCCCCATGTCCCCCCATGTCCCCCCGTGCCCCTCACCAGGTGTGGGCCGAGGGCAGCCGGTCGGTGTCCCCATGTCCCCCACCCTGTCCCCATGTCCCCCCATGTCCCCCCGTGCCCCTCACCAGGGGTGGGCCGAGGGCAGCCGGTCGGTGTCCCCATGTCCCCCCCGTGTCCCCGTGCCCCTCACCAGGTGTGGGCCGAGCGCAGTGCTCGGTGTCCCCATGTTCCCCCATGTCCCCATGTCCTCATGTCCCTCACCAGGTGTGGGCTGAGAGCAGCCAGTCGGTGTCCCCATGTCCCCCCCGTGTCCCCGTGTCCCTCACCAGGTGTGGGCCGAGGGCAGCCGGTCGGTGGAGCGGTCGTCGCGGTGGATCTGGAATTTCTGGATGCCGTTCATGCCCTCGAGGGCGGCGAATCCCTGCAGGGGCACCTTGGACGTGCCCGTCACGAACTGCAGGAACTTGGCGCGGTCGGCCTGGTCGAAGGAGCGCAGGGCACGCCAGAACCACTGGATCTGGGACAGGGACAGGGACAGTCACCCACTGCCACTCAGGGGGACAGGGACAGCCAGCCACCGGGACCCCTGGAATCCCCCCAGAACCCCTTGGAACCTCACAGAATCCCCCATGATCCCCCCAGAACACCCCCAGGTGCCAGCCCCACCTGGATGGAGTCACTCTGGTACCCAGAATCCCCTGAAATCCCCCCAGAATCCCCCCAGAAGCCCCTGAAATCCCTCCAAAACCCCCTGAAATCCCCTCAGAACCCCGCCAGGTGCCAGCCCCACCTGGATGGAGTCACTCTGGTACCCAGAATCCCCTGAAATCCCCCCAGAAGCCCCTGAAATCCCCCCAGAATTTCCTGAAATCCCCTCAGGACCCTCCCAGGTGCCAGCCCCACCTGGATGGAGTTGCCCTGGTACCCAAAATCACCCCAGAACCCCTGAGACCCCCCCAGAACCCCCTGAGATCCCCCCTGAAATCCCCTCAGAACTTCCTGAAATCCCCTCAGAACCCCCCCAGGTGCCAGCCCCACCTGGATGGAGTTGCCCTGGTACTTGTGGTACTCGGTGTTGGTACCCAGAATCCCCTGAAATCCCCCCAGAAGCCCCTGAAATCCCCCCAGAATTTCCTGAAATCCCCTCAGGACCCTCCCAGGTGCCAGCCCCACCTGGATGGAGTTGCCCTGGTACCCAGAATCACCCCAGAACGCCTGAGATCCCCCCAGAACTCCCTGAAATCCCTCCAGAACTTCCTGAAATCCCCCCAGGACCCCTCCCAGGTGCCAGCCCCACCTGGATGGAGTTGCCCTGGTACTTGTGGTACTCGGTGTTGGCCTTGAGGTCGTCGATGTCGATGGTGGGCAGCCCCGAGATGAGCAGCTCCAGCTCCTGCTCCGTGAAGATGGAGATGAGGCGCTTGGGGATGATCTCGTAGAAGCCTTCCAGGAACGCCGCCAGCTGCTTCCGGATGGCGCCTGCCACGGGATTTTGGGGGGGTCAGGGGGGTCTCAGGAGCCCCCCCAGAGCCCCCCCTGGCCCAGTGCTCACCGGTCATGCGCATCTGGCACACGAGGTGCACGTACTCCTTCTTGTTCTCCTCCGTCACCAGCACGTTGGCCCCGTTGGGCTTCAGGTCCCGCACCTCGCACACCCCGAATTCCTGCACCTGGGGGGGCACGGGGGGGTCAGCAGGGTGGGGGGACACAGAGGGGACATCCCTGAACCTCAAACGCCCCGAACTCCTGCACCTGGGGGGGCACGGGGGGGTCAGCAGGGTGGGGGGACACAGAGGGGACATCCCTGAACCTCAACCCCCCCGAATTCCTGCACCTGGGGGGGCACGGGGGGGTCAGCAGGGTGTGGGGACAGAGAGGGGACATCCCTGGACCTCAAACCCCCCGAATTCCTGCACCTGGTGGGGCATAGGGGGGGTCAGCAGGGTGTGGGGACAGAGAGGGGACATCCCTGGACCTCAAACCCCCCGAATTCCTGCACCTGGGGGGGCACGGGGGGGTCAGCAGGGTGTGGGGACAATGAGGGGACATCCCTGAACCTCAAACCCCCGAATTCCTGCACCTGGGGGGGTCAGCAGGGTGTGGGGACACAGAGGGGACATCCCTGAACTTCAAAACCCCAAATTCCTGAACCTGGGGGGGTCAACAGGGTGTGGGGACATCCCTGAACCTCAAACCCCCGAATTCCTGCACCTGGGGGGGTCAGCAGGGTGTGGGGACACAGAGGGGACACCCCTGAACCTCAAAACCCCAAATTCCTGAACCTGGGGTGTCACCGGGTCACAGAACAGGTCCCAGGATGGGAGGGTGTCACCCCTGGGGTGTGAGGAGTGAGGGGACACCCCAGGGACACCCCCAAACCAAGGGGACACCCAGGAGGGGAGGGGCCCCTCCCTGGCACATGGGGCAGCTGAGGAGAGCTGGGGACCCCCAGTGCTGGTTTTGGGGGTCCCCACCTCAGTGCTGAAGGTGAGGTCGTAGCCCAGCGTGGAGACGTCGTTCTCCAGCAGGTACACGAGGCCCTGGTAGAAGTGATAGTCCTCGCTCTCCATGTCCGTGTACCTGGGGGCCAAAAACGGGGGCAGCGCCCCAAAAATGGGGTCAGAAACCATGGGGAGCCCGAAAACAGGGTCAGAGCCTGCTGGAGAGCCCAAAAACCAGGGTCAGGGTGTGGGGACATCCCTGAACCTCAAACCCCCGAATTCCTGCACCTGGGGGGGTCAGCAGGGTGTGGGGACACAGAGGGGACATCCCTGAACTTCAAAACCCCAAATTCCTGAACCTGGGGGGGTCAACAGGGTGTGGGGACATCCCTGAACCTCAAACCCCCGAATTCCTGCACCTGGGGGGGTCAGCAGGGTGTGGGGACGTCTCTGAACCTCAAAACCCCGAATTCCTGCACCTGGGGGGGCACAGGGGGGTCAGCAGGGTGTGGGGACATCCCTGAACCTCAAAACCCCAAATTCCTGCACCTGGGGTGGGGCACGAGGGGGTCAGCAGGGTGTGGGGACACAGAGGGGACATCCCTGAGCCTCAAACACCCCTGAAATTCCTGAACCTGGGGTGTCACCAGGTCACAGAACAGGTCCCAGGATGGGAGGGTGTCACCCCTGGGGTGTGAGGAGTGAGGGGACACCCCAGGGACACCCCCAAACCAAGGGGACACCCAGGAGGGGAGGGGCCCCTCCCTGGCACATGGGGCAGCTGAGGAGAGCTGGGGACCCCCAGTGCTGGTTTTGGGGGTCCCCACCTCAGTGCTGAAGGTGAGGTCGTAGCCCAGCGTGGAGACGTCGTTCTCCAGCAGGTACACGAGGCCCTGGTAGAAGTGATAGTCCTCGCTCTCCATGTCCGTGTACCTGGGGGCCAAAAACGGGGGCAGCGCCCCAAAAATGGGGTCAGAAACCATGGGGAGCCCCAAAACAGGGTCAGAGCCTGCTGGAGAACCCAAAAACCAGGGTCAGACCCTGCCAGGGGTCCAGAACACCATAAATACAGCCCCACCCCCTCTAAAGGGGCCCAGCACCCCATAAATGGCTCAGATTCTCTCCAAGGGGATCCAGCACCCCCTAAATGCAGTCCCACATGCCACAAATGCAGCCCCACTCCCCTCTGAGGGGCTCCAGCACCCCATAAATGACTCCAAACCTTTGAAGGGGGTCCAGCACCCCACAAATGGCTCCAGCACCCCATAAATGACTCCAGCACCCCACAAACAGGTCCCAACCCCCACAAATGCAGTCCTAAACCCCATAAATGCAGTCCACCCTCCTGTGAGGGGTTCCAGCACCCCATAAGCAGGTCCCACACCCCACAAACACCCCTCCCACACCCCATAAATGCACTCCCACCCCTCTCTGAGGGGCTCCATCACCCTCTAAGCACAGTCCCACCCCCACAAACACACTCATACCTCCCTCTGAGGGGCTTCATCACCCCACAAACACACTCCCACCCACACAAACACTCCCACCCTACACAAATGCAGTCCCACACCCCACAAACACACCCCACACCCCACAAACACAACCCACACCCCTCTGAGGGTCTCCAACACCCCATAAAACACACTCCCACGCCCAGAAACACACTCTCACCCCCCTCTGAGGGACTCCATCACGCCACAAACACACTCCCACCCTACACAAATGCAGTCCCACCCCACAAACACACCCCCACACCCCCCAAACACACCTCCACACCCCCAAACACCATCCCACATCCCTCTGAGGGGCTCCACCACCCCATAAAACACACCTCCACACCCCACAAACACAATCCCACACCCCACAAACACAATCCCACACCCACAAACACAATCCCACACCCCACAAACACAATCCCACACCCCACAAACACAGTCCCTGGCTCTCCAGCCCCCCGGGCCGCCATGGCTCCCCACACCCCACAAACACAATCCCACACCCCACAAACACAATCCCACACCCCACAAACACAATCCCACACCCCACAAACACAATCCCACACCCCACAAACACAATCCCACACCCCACAAACACAATCCCACACCCCACAAACACAATCCCACACCCCCCCAGCCACCCCCCTGGCTCTCCAGCCCCCCGGGCCGCCATGGCTCGCCCCTTACCGCACGGACTTGCCCAGGATGTGTTTGTAGAAGGAGCGGGTGAAGTAGCACTCCAGCAGCCGGTTGTCGTAGACGGCCTTGGCCACGATCCTGCCCACGAACTTGAAGTAGCTCAGGTGGTTGGGGTTGCAGTGGGACGAGGGGTTGATGGTGTAGGTGACGCGGTCGCCGGGCGACGTGCGGAACAGGGCGTACATGGGGTTGAACATCTCGCGGGAGATGATCATGTACCACTCCCGCAGCAGCCCCCCGGCGTCCTGGCCCTCCTCGCCCTCGAACACGATGTACCTGCGGGGGTTAGAGGGGTGGGAGAGGGGGTTTGGGGAGGGTGGAGGTGGTTTTGGGGGGAACTGAGGAGTTTGGAGACGTTTTTGGGGAGACTTGGTGGGGAATCAGGGGGTTAGGGAGTCGGGAGAGGGGATTTTGGGGAAGTGGGGGGAGGATGGATGTGTTTTAGGGGGAATTAGGGGGTTTGGAGGAATGGGGGGAGGGTGGAGGGGTATTTTGGGAGGGTCAGGGGGTGTTTGTGGGGTGTTTAAAGAGGGTCTGGGCGTGTTTGTAGGGGATTTGGAGAAGGTCAGAAGCTGTTTGTTGGGACGGACGTGCACTTTTGGAGGCTCTTGGCGGGGAACTGGGGGGTTTAGGGGAATGTAGAGAGGATGGAGGGGTGTTTTGGGTGTCCCGGGTGTATTTTGAGGTGTCCCAGGTATATTTTGGGGTATCCCAGGTGTATTTTGGGGTGTCCCAGGTGTATTTTGGGTTATCCCATGTGCATTTAGAGTGTCCCAAGGGACATTTTGGATATCCCAGGGATATCCTGGGCTGCCCAGGGGATATTTTGAGGTTCCCAGGCAGTATTTTAGGGTTCCCAGGGGATATTCTGGGGTGTCCAGGTCAGAAGCTGTTTGTTGGGACGGACGTGCACTTTTGGAGGCTCTTGGCGGGGAACTGGGGGGTTTAGGGGAATGTAGAGAGGATGGAGGGGTGTTTTGGGTGTCCCGGGTGTATTTTGAGGTATCCCAGGTATATTTTGGGGTATCCCAGGTGTATTTTGGGGTATCCCAGGTGTATTTTGGGGTATCCCAGGTGCATTTAGAGTGTCCCAGGGATATCCTGGGCTGCCCAGGGGATATTTTGAGGTTCCCAGGCAGTATTTTAGGGTTCCCAGGGGATATTCTGGGGTGTCCCCGGGGCTCTCACAGGCGGTTCTTCATCTCCTCGGGGGATTTGCGGTGCAGCTCCCGGTACGAGTCCTCGAAGACGTGGTCGCGCCGCACGTGCACGGCCATGTCCTCCTTGCGCAGCCCCTCGTCCAGGCGCTCCAGCTCCTGCCTGAAGTACCTGGCCAGGGCAAAAAGGGGGTGTTAGAGGCCGTGGGACCCCCGGGACCCCCCTCCTGGGACCCCCCCAGGCCACTCACTTGCGCTTGACGTCGAAGTCCAGCACGCGGATGTAGTCGACCAGCACGGCGAAGGGGCCGTCGGCCAGGTGCGTGGTGGACTGCCGCAGGATCTGGTTCAGCACCGTCCGGTGGGTCTCTGGGGAGGATAAAAAAAGGGGTTTGGGGGTGTCCCCAAATAGGGGAACCCCCCTCCTGGAATGCCCCACGGTTGTGAGCCTTTGGGAGGGGAGGATTTTCCTCCTTCAGTGCTTGGAAGGTGGTGTTGGCGGCCTTGATCTTGGCTCGCGCCAACCTTGAAGTGTTGACAAGATCAAAAATCACCCAAATTCAGCCTTCCCAAATTCCCCTTTTCCAAAGACTTGAGGGGCCCATAAATCCCCCCGAATTTTCACTCCCCAAAGCCTTGGGGTTCCCCCAAACCCCTCCCCAACATCCCCCAAACCCCTCTCAAATCCCTCCAAATCCCTTCCCCCACACCCCAAACTCTCCCCGAACCTGCAAACCCTGTCCCCAAAGCTGAGGCTCTCCCCAACCCCCTCAAATCCCCCACAAACCCCTTTCTCACACTCCCAATGCCCTTCCCCAGACCCCCAATCCTTTTCCCCACACCCTAAGCTCTCCCAAACCCACTCCCAATATCCCAAAACCCCCTCCCCATACCCCAAATCTCTCTCACATACTCTCCAGGCCCCCAAACCCCCTCCCATCTGTTTCCAGTCCCACAACTCCTTCCCCAAACCCCTCCCAACATCCCCAATCCACCTCCCAAAGCCCCTCCAGCCCCCCAAACCCCTTCCTCACACTCCCAACCCCCTAAGCTCTGCCCCCCAACGCCCCTAAACATCCTCCAACCTCCCTTCAGCGTCATTACACCCTCCCAATCCCCTTCCCCACTTTCCCACTCCCCAAAGCCCCCCGTGAAGCCCCCCGGCTCACCGGCAAAGCGCAGGAATTTCTGCGTGTCCGGGGGCAGGCTGGCCGAGATGTGCATGGCCGAGGGCTCCCGTGAGAAGAAGGGGTCCAGGGCAGAGGGGGTGGCGGGGGTGAGGGGCGCGGGGGACAGCGGGGGTGGCTCGTCCTTGATGTGTGCCAGCTGGCTCTCCCGCGTGTCCCGCACCGGCGGGCGGCTCTCGCGCTCCGTGGCGTGCACCAGGAAAAACGCCTCGACGGCCGGCTGCAGCACTGCGGGACAGGGGTCAGCGGCGGCGGGGGACAGCACGGGGACGGCATGGGGACAGCGTGGGGACAAGATGGGGACAGTATGGGGGCAGCACGAGGACAGGGTGGGGACAGCACGGGGTCAGCAGTGGCGTGGGGCAGGGGACAGGGTGGGGACAGGGTGGGGACAAGGGGTGGTGTGGGGCAGGGGACAGCACGGGGACAACATGGGGGCAGCATGGGGACAGCAGGTGGCATGGGGCAGGGGGACAGCATGGGGACAGCATGGGGACAGCACGGGTACAGGGTGGGGACAGGGGGCCACGTAGGGCAGGGCATGGGGACAGCGTGGGGACAAGAGGGGGACAGTATGGGGGCAGCACGGGGACAGGGTGGGGACAGCACGGGGTCAGCAGTGGCGTGGGGCAGGGGACGGCATGGGGACAGCGTGGGGACAAGATGGGGACAGTATGGGGGCAGCATGAGGAGAGGGTGGGGACAGCACGGGGACAGCACAGGGTCAGCACAGGGTCAGTGGTGGCATGGGACAGGGGACAGCATGGGGACAGTGTGGGGACAGCACGGGGTCAGCAGTGGCGTGGGGCAGGGGACAGCACGGGGACAGGGTGGGGACAGCATGGGGACAGCAGCGCGGGAACAGGGACAGAGTGGGGACATTGTGGAGTCAGCGGGCAGCGTGGCACGGGGACAGTGCGGGGTCAGCGGGACAGGAATGGGACAGAGGGACACAATGGGATGGAGGGAAACACCCTGGGATGGGGGGGACACACTGGAATAGGGGAAGGGAACACCCCAGAACTGGGGGGACATCCAAGGATGGGGGAACTCTGTGGGGTGGGAACACCCCTTGATGGGGGGAGAACAGCCTGGGACAGAGGTTCCAGCCCCCCCCCATGAGGATTTAGGGTCACCCCTATGGTTTTGGGGCCCCTCTATAGATTCCAGCCCACTATGCTGGGATTTAGGGTCAGCCCTGTGGTTCGGGGTTCCCCTATAGAATCCAGCCCACCACCCCAGGATTTAGGGTCACCCTTGTGTTTTTAGGGTCCCCCTATACAATCCAGCCCACCACCCCAGGATTTAGGGTCACCCCTGTGTTTTTAGGGTTTCCCTATAGAATCCAGCCCAGGATTTAGGGTCACCCTTGTGTTTTTAGGGTCCCCCTATACAATCCAGCCCACCACCCCAGGATTTAGGGTCACCCTTGTGTTTTTAGGGTCCCCCTATAGAATCCAGCCCACCACCCCAGGATTTAGGGTCACCCCTATGGTTTTGGGGCCCCTCTATAGATTCCAGCCCACTATGCTGGGATTTAGGGTCAGCCCTGTGGTTCGGGGTTCCCCTATAGAATCCAGCCCACCACCCCAGGATTTAGGGTCACCCTTGTGTTTTTAGGGTCCCCCTATACAATCCAGCCCACCACCCCAGGATTTAGGGTCAGCCCTGTGTTTTTAGGGTTCCCCTATAGAATCCAGCCCACCACTTCGGGATTTAGGGTCACCCCTGTGTTTTTAGGGTTTCCCTATAGAATCCAGCCCAGGATTTAGGGTCAGCCCTGTGGTTCTGGGGTCCCCCAGGATCTGGGGTGACGCACCGAGCACGGCGTGCTGGTCGTGGGACTCCTCGAGCTCCTTGAGGCACTCTCCCAGCATGTCCCACAGCTCGTCCAGGCTCAGCTGCTCGCTCAGCAGGGGCAGCTCCGGGGGCCGCTCCTCCCTGTCCCTGTCCCTGTCCCTGTCCCCACCCTGTGCGGCCTCGGGGCCTGGGGAGGGACAAGGTCAGGACGTCACCGTGTGACCAGTGCCACCCCACCAGTGCCACCCCACCAGTAACACCCACCCAACCAGTGCCACCCCACCAGTACCACCCCACCCCACCAGTACCACCCCCTGCAGTGATACTGGGATGGCCCCACATCAGCACCAGCCCAGGAATGGGGATGACCCCAGTGGTGGCACTGGGGGTGACTGGGTGACAATGGGGGGCAACTGGACTGCACTGGAGGGTGACTGGGTGGCACAGGGAAGTGACGCAGGGGCACTGGGCCATACTGGAAGGTGACTGGGTGGCACTGGGCCATACTGGAGGGTGACTGGGCGGCACTGGGAGGTGACTGGGTGGCACTGGGCCGTACTGGAGGGTGACTGGGCAGCACTGGGAGGTGACTTGGTGGCACTGGGAGGCATTGGGCCATGCTGGAGGGTGACTGTGTGGCACAGGGAAGTGACTGGGGGGCACTGGGCCATACTGGAGAGAGAGTGGGTGGCACTGGAGGGTGACTGGGTGGCACTGGGCCATACTGGAGGGTGACGGGGTGGCACTGGGAGGTGACTGGGTGGCACTGGGAGGTGACTGGGCGGCACTGGGCAGTACTGGAGGGTGACGGGGTGGCACTGGGGGGGGACTGGGTGGCACTGGGCCATACTGGAGGGTGACTGGGCGGCACCGGGAGGTGACTGGGTGGCACTGGGAGGTGACTGGGCAGCACTGGGCTGTACTGGAGGGTGACTGGGCAGCACTGGGAGGTGACTGGGTGGCACTGGGCCATACTGGAGGCTGGGAGGCGGTGGCACTGGGAGGTGACTGGGCGGCACTGGGCTGTACTGGAGGGTGACTGGGGGGGTTCTCACCCACGTCCTGCGGCGCGGGCGAGGGCTGGTCCACATCCATGGGCGACTCCTCGCGCCGGGGGACGGCGTCCGCGGGCCCGGCCTCCGACTGGGGGGGACGGCGGCGGCTTTAGGGGGCCGGGACCCCCACAGGGGAGCCCCCAGAGCCCCCCCGGGCCGGGGGGACCCCAAAACATGGGGGGGAAGGGGGCTGGGAGCCGCGGGGGGAAGGGGGAGAAGCGGGAGGGGGATGGGGAGAGGGAGGAAGAGGAGAAGGAGGGGGGGAAGGAGGGGGAGGATGATGAAGATGGAAGAAGATGAAGGAGGAGAATGAGGATGATGAAGACAAGGTGAAGACGACAATGGGTATGAGCAGGAGGAAGGCTGAGGGGGAGTGGAGGCAGGAGGGGAGTGGGAGAGGATGGGAGAATGAGGATGAGAAGGAGGAGGCTGAGACTGGTCAGGGATGAGAGGATGAAGATGAGGGGGAAGGAGGAGGCTGAGGAAGGGAAGGAAAGATGAGGATGAGGAGGGATGGAGGAAGGGGCGGGACAAGAATGAGGGGGCGGAGGAGGGGGCGAGGATGATGAGGAGAGCAGGGCCGAGGAGGCCGAGGATGACGAGGAGGAGGCCGAAGAGGCCAGGACAGGGCGCAGAGAAGCGGGAGGAAGAGCAGGGCAGGGTGGAGGAAGGCGGCCGTGCTAACCGTGTCTCCCTGCTGCCGCCTCCGGGCCCTCTGGCCCTCACGTACCATTTGTATGATGGCGTCGGCCTCGGCCTCCAGCTGCCGGACGGCGGCCTGGATGCTGCCGGCCGCCCCCAGCCCCGCGGCGCCTGCGGGCACAGCGCGGTCAGCGGTCAGCGCGGACAGCGTTCAGCGGTCAGCGGGGTGGCCGGAGCGGCCCTTACCCAGCCGGCCGGGCTGCTTGGCCTTGCGGTGCGCCCGGCGCGTGTCGTCGCGCAGCTGGATGATGACCTGCAGCACGCGCAGGAAGAAGCGCTGCGTGGACGTCTTGGAGGTCAGCACGGACATGGAGGGCAGCTGCAGCTCCCGGCCGCCCAGAGCGCGCTTCTGAGACGCCACGATGACCACGCTCTCGGCCGTGTCGAAGCTGGGGGGACGGGACAGGGGTCAGGGGTCAAGGGGGGAGCACAGGAATGGCGGGACAGCGGTCAGTGGGGAGGAGCAGGGGGAGTGGGCAGTGGTCAGCAGTGGGGCAAGAGTGGGCAGTGGTCAGCAGAGGGACCCGGGGAAGTGGGCAGTGGTCATCAGAGGGACCCAGGGGAGTGGACAGTGGTCATCAGTGGGGCAACAGGGAGTGGGCAGTGGTCATCAGTGGGGAGTGGGCAGTGGTCATCAGCAGGGAGAACAGGGAGTGGTCATCAGAGGGACCAGGGGGAGTGGGCAGTGGTCATCAGAGGGACCAAGGGGAATGGGTAATGGTCATCAGCAGGGAGAACAGGGAGTGGTCATTGCTGGGACCACGATGAATTGCAGGACAATGGTCATCAACAGAGACCAGGGGGAATTGCAGGACAGTGGTCAGCAGTGGGGACAAGGGGGAGTGGTGGCACAGTGGTCATCACCAGGGACCCCAGACAGGGACAGGAGGTGCCACCATGCCCAGGACAGGGACAGGAGGGGTCAGTGGTGCCCAGGACAGCAGCCAGGCCAGGCCCCAGGGTGAGGGCACTCACCGGCTCTGCATTTTGCCCTTGAGCTTGGCGCTGGGGGGCTGCTCCTCGGGGAGCCCCTCGGGGGACGGGGCCTCGAGCTGTGCCCGCCGCTGCTGCTCCAGGTTGTACTCACGGAGCTCAGCCAGCAGCGTCCCTGGGGGGGTGCAGCACAGGCTCAGACCCCACTGACCCCCACTCACCACAGGGCACCCCCAGCCCACCCACTTGGGACCCCCGCCCACCAGTCAGGTGGCCCAGACCCTCTCCAAGACCCCCCTCACAGAGGGCCTCCCACCCCAGAGCCCTCCTCACCATCTGGTGGCTCTGATTCCCCCCCAGGACCCTCCCTCAATGATCTGGTGGCACAGAAATGCCCCTCAGGACCCCCACTCTGACACAGGGCCCCCTCAGGACCCCTCCTCACCCATCTGGTGGCACATGGATGCCCCCCTGGACCCCCCCGTCACCGATCTGGTGACACAGGGACCTCCCCCAGGATCCCCCCTCATGGATCTGGTGACACAGAAATGCCCCCCAGGACCCCCCCTCACCGATCTGGCGGCACAGGGCCCCCCCCAGCTGCCGGGCCCCGCTGAGCAGCAGCCGCAGCACCGTGTCCCTTGTCCCCGCGTCGCCCCGTGACAGCTGCAGCAGGACATTGGCCGCGTCCTCCAGCCCCTCCTCCGAGCACGAGTGTGATGTCAGCACCTGGGGGTGGCACAGGGTGGCGTTGGGGACACCTGGGGACAGCAGGGGACAGCAGGACACCCCCCCTGCCCAGATCGGCCCCCCGGTACCTCCACGGAGAGCTGGAGCTGGCTCTCGGTCAGGCCTGTGGCTGCCAGCCGGGGGTCAGGGCCACCCTCGGGGACCTTGGCAGGAGACTTGGAGCTCTTGGCAGGGGCTGGGGACAGCAGGGACACAGCGGTGGGGGCGGTGGCAGTGGGTGGGAGATGCCACCGAGGCCACTGTCACCCACCTCACCCAGGCTGCTCCCTGTGCTCCCTGGCATCCCTGTCACCATGTCCTGTCCCTGGTACTGCATCCCATCCCTGTCCTGTCTGTGTCCCATCCCTCTCCCTGTCCCTATCCTCATGCCCCATTCCTGTTCCCATGTCCCCATCCCCCCCATCCCCATGTTCCCATCCCAGTCCCTATCCCTATTCCAATGCCCTCACCTGTCCTCAGGTTCCCATCCCCATGTTCCCAGCCCTGTCTCCATCCCCATCCCCTGTCCCCATATCTCTGTCCCCTGTCCCCATCCCCATCCTCCTGTCTCCCTGTCCCTGTCCCCATCCCTGTCCCTGTCCCCACACTCACCCGCGGTTCCTCCAGCCGTGGCTGCTCCTCCTCCTCCTCCGTTGCTCCCCTGTCCCGGGGGGCTCCCGGGGGCTGCGGCCGCCCCCGTCCCCGTCCCTGTCCCACCCCCTGCAGCGGGCGGGGCGGGCGCGGGGGGGGCGGGGGCTCCGTTCTGGGGCGCTGCCCCCCCCTCGCCGGCCTTGCCCCCCTCGGGGAGGGCGATGGAGATGAGGGACAGGAGGCGCAGCAGCTTCTCGGTGAGGAGGGGGCTGCGGCGGATGACGCCGTGCGACAGCATGTTCATCAGCTGCCCCAGCGGCGACGCCTCCAGGCCCCCCCCGGCCGATGAGAGGCCATACATCAGTGGCAAGGGGCCAAGGTGCTGGGGGGGTTTGGGGGGGTGGGGGAGGGCAAGGGCTGCCCCCGGATTTGGGGGGGCCGCGGTCGCGCTCCGGGTCGGTGGCGGGGTCTCGGCCTCGTTGTTGGGTGAAGTGGCTGGGGAAGACCTGGGGGGAGGACAGGGGGTGCCATGGAGTGCTGATGACCCCAGAACCATCCCAAAACCACCCCGGAGTCCCCTATGCCCCGCTATCCCAGGAAGCCTCAGTCACACCCAGGTCCCACACAGGTTTGGGGATCTTTCCCCCACCAGGTGATGCTCCCTGTGCCACTGGGAGGGACCCCAAGCATGGAGAAGGGCCCCCAGTTGTGGCCCCAGCCCCCAAAGCACCCCTAGGTGTGGAATGTTCCAATGACTCCCAAAAGCCACAGACTACCTCTTAGGGTGCCCCAGTGCACCCCAAAATGTCCCAAGCACCACCCCCCAAGACCCCTCAAGGAACCTCCCAGAAACCCAAAACTGTGCTCTAGTGTTGCCCAATTTCCCCCAAAAAGCCCCAAACCACCCCTTAATGTGCCAAAAAAATCTTCAAGGAACCTTCCAAAAAACCAATAATGGGCTCTAGCACTCCTCAAAGAGCCCCAAACCACCCCTCAGTGTGCCAAAAAACCCCTGTTCCAGTGACCACCAAAAGCCACAGACTACCTCTTAGGGTGCCCCAGTGCACCCCAAAATGTCCCAAGCACCCCCCAAGACCCCTCAAGGAACCTCCCAGAAACCCAAAACTGTGCTCTAGTGTTGCCCAATTTCCCCCAAAAAACCCCAAACCACCCCTCAATGTGCCAAAAAACCTTCAAGGAACCTTCCAGAAACCCAATAATGGGCTCTAGTGTTCCCCAATTTCCCCCGAAGCACCCTTTAACGTGTCAAAAAAACCCTCAAGAAACCTCCCAAAAACCCAAGAACACTCTCCAATTTCCCTTGAAGAACCCCAAACACACTCCCCAGCAGCCCCACCTTGGCCAGCTGGATGAGGGTGTCCAGCACGTGCCGGCACACCACGGGCGCGGCCTGGGGGTGGATGTGGACGGCGGAGCCGGCGGCCGCCGCGTGTTTCTCCGTGTGCTTGCGGCCGGGCACGCGCTGGATCTGGAAGATGTTGGTCCTGCAGCCCAAGGCGGCGTCCATGGACACGGAGAGCCAGGAGAGCTGCCCGGAGCTGCGCGATTCCATGCGGTGCAGCAGGTCCAGCCCGCGCGGCTCCGCGGCAGAGCCGGGCCCGGCGCGGCTCCCGCCGCCTCGGCCCCGCGGCCGCTCCTCGGAGCCCGGCCCGGGGGTCCCGCGGGGGGTCTCGAGGCACAGCTCGCTCTCGCTGCTGCGCTGCAGGATGGACAGCAGGCTGCGGACCACCCAGCCCCGCGTGGGAGCATGGTAGCAGAGGTTGCGCAGGACGCGGTGCAGGCGGCTGGTGTTCAGCTTGGGCTCGTCCACGAAGAGCAGCACCAGCAGGCAGGACAGAGCCTCGTGGTCCAGCAGCAGCCGCCCGCGCAGGCGCAGCAGGCTGTCCACGCTGCTGCCCGCAGGCCTGGGGGTGGGGGACAGCCAGGAGTGACCCAAAGTGACCCAAACCAGAGCACTAAACCAGCCCCAGACTGACCCTGAACTGCCCTGTCCACGCTGCTGCCCGCCGGCCTGGGGGTGGGGGACAGCCAGGAGTGACCCAAAGTGACCCAAAACAGACCCTGAACTGCCCTGTCCACACTGCTGCCTGCTGGCCTGGGGATGGGGGACAACCAGGAGTGACCCAAAGTGACCCAAACTGACTCCAACCCTAAAATGACTCCTAAACTGAACCCAAACAGACCTGGACACCCCCATCCCTCTCACGCTGCCCGCAGGCCTGGGGGTGGGGGACAGCCAGGAGTGACCCAAAGTGACCCAAACCAGAGCACTAAACCAGCCCCAGACTGACCCCGAACTGCCCTGTCCACGCTGCTGCCTGCCAGCCTGGGGGGACAGCCAAGACTGACCCCAAAGTGACCCAAACCAGACCCCAAACTGCCCTGTCCATGCTGCTGCCTGCCAGCCTGGGAGGACAGTCAAGACTGACCTCAAAGTGACCTAAACTAGACCCCAAACTGCCTTGTCCCTGCTGCTGTCCACCAGCCTAGGGGGACAGCCAAGACTGACTCCAAAGTGACCCAAAACAGACCCTGAACTGCCCTGTCCAAGCTGCTGCCTGCTGGCCTGGGGGCACAGCCAGGACTGACCCCAAAGTGACCCAAAACAGACCCCAAACTGAGTGCCAAACCAGTCCCAAACTGCTCTGTCCACACTGCTGCCTGCCAGCCAGGGGACATGGGTCATATCCTAAACCACCCCTAAACTCATCCAGAGAGCCCCCAAAACTGACCCCAGCCTGACCCCAAACTGGCCTGTCCACACTGCTGCCTGCCAGCCTAGGGACACAGTTATACCCCAAATGACCCAAAACTGATTCCAAACCAACCCTAAAGTGATTCCTAAACTGAACCCAAACAGAACCATTCCTCTCAGTCCCAATGACCTGCTGTAACCCCCACCCTACAGCTGTGCCCCCACCCCAAAGCTGTGACCCCAGAACTGTGGGGTCACCCCAGAGCTGTGACCCCACCCCAGAGCTGTGTCCTGACTCCACAGCCATGACCCCACCCCACTGACCTGCTGTGATCCCCCCCCAGATCTGTGCCCCCACCCCCCAGCCCTGCTGTGACCCCAACCCCACAGCCATGACCCCACCCCACTGACCTGCTGTGACCCCAAACCCACAGCTGTGCCCCCACCCCACAGCCCTGCTCTGACCCTAATCCCACAGCCATGACCCCACCCCACAGCCCTGCTGTGACCCCAACCCCACAGCCATGACCCCACCCCACAGCCCTGCTGTGACCCCAATCCCACAGCCATGACCTCACCCCACTGACCTGCTCTGACCCTAATCCCACAGCCATGACCCCACCCCAGAGCCGTGCCCCCGCCCCACTGACCTGCTGTGGGTGCCGGTGCCCCCCATGTGGAAGGTGCCCCCCCTCTGCACCGCCAGCCGCGTGTACTGAACGCCCCGGTTCCCGCTGAGCCGGCTGGTGAACGCTGCGGGGACAGGGACACCGGTGTCACACAGCGGGGACACGGCACGGACTGGGGACACTGGGGACATGCCACACAGCAGAAAAACTGGGGCTTTGCCACACACTGGGGATATGTCACACACCGGGGACGTGTCACACAACGGTGACACCGGGGATATGTCACACACTGATAACACAGCACGCAGCAGGGACACCACGGATGTGTCACACACCGGGGACATGGGAACACTCAGAGAATCGGAGTGGGGACAGAGAAGGGGGGGCAGAGGGAAACCCCAAGAGACCACGGCCCTATGGGGATGTGTCCCAAGGAGGCCATACCCCAAGAGACCACGGCCCTATGGGGATGTGTCCCGAGGATGCCACACCCTAAGAGACCATGCCCCAAAGAGGCCACGCCTCTATGGGGATGTGTCCCGAGGAGGTCATACCCCAAGACCACACCCCAAACAGGCCACACCCCAAGAGACCACACCCCAAAGAGGCCACACCTCTATGGGGATGTGTCCCAGAGGCCACACCCTGAGAGACCACACCCCCAGAGACCACACCCCCGTGGGGACATATCCCAAAGAGGCCACACCCTGAGACCATGTCCCCATGTGGACACTCCCCAAAGAGGCCACACCCCACAGACACATCCTGAAGAGGCCACACCTCAGGAAGCCACACCTCCATGTGGCCACACCCAAACAGGCCACACCCTGAGACCACACCCTCCCTTAGTTCTACCCAAACTCACACCCTTCCCTTAGCCCTGCCCCAAGACCACACCCAACCCATAGCCCCGCCCACCCCATGACCACACCCAACCAGTAGCCCCGCCCACCCCATGACCACACCCACCTCCTCCTGGATGGCCGGGGGCAGCGCTGCCAGGAACTCGGGGCTGACCTCGGTGAGGCCGGGGTTGGCCACCACGGGTGGGGCGGGGCTGGCGGTGGGCGGGGCCCGTGCAGGTGGGCGGATCCCCAGCTGGTTCTGCAGCACCTCCCGCCGGATGTCGTCCGGCAGCGCCGCCAGGAAGGACGGGTCCACGCCCTCGGGGAGGCTGATCCCTGTGACACGTTGGGGACATGCTGGGGACACCCCAGGGAATGGACTGGACCCTTCCAGGGATGCCCTGAAAATCCCTGGAACTCCCAGGGATGTCCCTAAGAACCTTTGGGGACACCCTGAAATCCCTCAGGGACACCCCAAAACCATCAGGGACACGCTGGAACCCCCAGGGACATCCCTAAAAACCCCCAGGGACATCCCTAAAAATCCTCAGGGACATCCCTAAAAACCCCCAGGGACATCCCTAAAAACCTTTGGAGACACCCCAAAACACACAGGGACCCCTTCAAAACATTCACAGACAACCCGAAACTTCCAGGGACACCCCAAAACCTCCCAGGAAACCTCAGAAACAGCCCAGGGAGTCTCCAAAGCCCCCAGGGGGACGTGGGATTCTGGAGGGTGACAGAGGGGACACGGGGAGGGGGGTGGGTTGTGGTGACACTGACCAGCCACAGGGGACACAGGACTGGCCAGGAGGGACACGAGGGTGTCACTGACCAGTCAGAGGGGTGCACAGAGGCGTCACTGACCAGTGAGAGGGGACAGGGGGGTGTCACTGACTGGCCAGAGGGGACACAGGGCTGTCACTGATCACTGACAGGGGACACAGGGGTGTCACTGATCACTGACAGGGGACACAGGGCTGTCACTGACTGGTGACAGGGGACACAGGGGTGTCACTGATCACTGACAGGGGGCACAGGGGTGTCACTGACCGGCCAGCGGATCCTCCTCCTCGCTGCTGGTGGACGGCAGCGGCTCCTCCAGGATCCCCCTCGAGTCGGCCCCAGAAATGGCCCCGGCTGAGTCCCGGGTGGATGAACTCTCCGAGGATGAGGCCGGGGGGGAGCTGGGGATGACATCACAGAGCTGTGACGTCAGCAAGGGTGGACACCCCAAAACCATGACACCCCCAAAACCCTGACCACCCCAAAACACGACCCCCCTGTTTCCCACTGACAGAGCAGGGGGGGAAGGAGAGGCTCTCACCTATCGTCCGGAGGCTGAGCGGTGTCGGGGGGGGCAGGAGTGGAAGGGAGGGCGGACGTCGGCCGAAGCGGGGCCGGCTTTGGACGCCGCGTCCTGCGGGAGATGGGAAGGTGGGGAATGAAGGAGGGACCCTTCCCCACGTCCCGGGGAGGTTTTGGGGGGTTTTTTGGGGGTCTCTCACCTGGGCCTCTGCCCCGTCCTTGTCCTCGGGGCCGCGCTCGGCGCCTTTGGCCTCGTCCTCGGCCGCCTGGCGCCGGCGCTTCTCGCGCCGCTCGTCCAGCTCCTCGTCCCGCAGCGCCTCCAGCCGGGCCAGGATGGGCACCTTGACCACTGGGGGGGAAAATGGGGGGTTTGGGGTGTGTGGGACCCCCAGCATGGGCACCTTGACCACTGTGGGGGGGGAAATGGGGGGTTTGGGGTGTGTGGGACCCCCTGAAAGGTTTGGGGGGGGGTCCAGGTGAGCTGGGGGGATTTACCTGGGGGGGTGACGTCGGCCGAAGCGGGGCCGGCTTTGGACGCCGCGTCCTGCGGGAGATGGGAAGGTGGGGAATGAAGGAGGGACCCTTCCCCACGTCCCGGGGAGGTTTTGGGGGGTTTTTTGGGGGTCTCTCACCTGGGCCTCTGCCCCGTCCTTGTCCTCGGGGCCGCGCTCGGCGCCTTTGGCCTCGTCCTCGGCCGCCTGGCGCCGGCGCTTCTCGCGCCGCTCGTCCAGCTCCTCGTCCCGCAGCGCCTCCAGCCGGGCCAGGATGGGCACCTTGACCACTGGGGGGGGGAAATCAGGGGGTTTGGGGTGTGTGGGACCCCCAGGATGGGCACCTTGATCACTGTCATGGAGAGATCAGGGGGTTTGGGGTGTGTGAGACCCCCAGGATGGGCACCTCGATCACTTGGAGGGGAAGGAAGGGCGAGGCTTGGGGGTCTGGGGGCTGCCTGGGGGAAGGGTCCTGGGGCTCTGGGGGCTTTCCTGGGGGTCTCACCAGACACACAGTCGTGCATGCTCTCGGCGTCCAGGACCTTGCACTCCTCGGTCCAGCGCGTCAGGGCCGTGGGGATGCTGGACAGGGTCCCTGGCGGGGGATGGGAGCTTTGGAGGCTGCAGAGGCCACGCCCCCAAGTGGGACCACGCCCATCTCAGTGCACCCACCCCAAAACTGTCAATCAGCCAAGCCCACTCCCCCCACTTCCCCATTAAGCCCCACCCCTTTCCCCACATCCCTTTCACCCCACCCACCACACCCCTTTAAGCCCCACCCCTTCCCAACAGACCACACCCCCTTAAGCCACACCTCCTCTTATGGCCCTGCCCCTGCTGTGTCCCTGTCATGTTTTGAGGGTCTCTCCCTGTCCCCCTGTGTCCCCAGGTGTCCCCAGCTGTGCCAACTCACCTGCCTGGCTGTGGGTGTCCCCTCCCCATGTCCCCAGGTGTCCCCAGGTGTGGCCACTCACCTGCCTGGCTGTGGGTGTCCCCTCCCCATGTCCCCAGGTGTCCCCAGGTGTGCCAACTCACCTGTCTGACCCTGGGTGTCTCCCCATGTCCCAGGGTGTCCCCCTATGTCCCCAGGTGTGCCAACTCACCTGCCTGGCTGTGGGTGTCCCCTCCCCATGTCCCCAGGTGTCCCCAGGTGTCCCCAGGTGTGCCAACTCACCTGTCTGACCCTGGGTGTCTCCCCATGTCCCAGGGTGTCCCCCTATGTCCCCAGGTGTGCCAACTCACCTGCCTGGCTGTGGGTGTCCCCTCCCCATGTCCCAGGTGTCCCCAGGTGTGCCCAGGTGCCCCCAGGTGTGCCCAGGTGTGCCCACTTGCCTGCCTGGCTGTGGGTGTCCCCTCCCCATGTCCCAGGTGTCCCCAGGTGCCCCCAGGTGTCCCTAGGTGCCCCCAGGTGTGCCCACTCGCCTGCCTGGCTGCCCGCGCTGCCCTGCTCGTGGAAGAAGTCGTCCAGCAGCTCGTCGTCGGAGCGGGCGATGATGTGCACGTCCTCGTTGCCCACCAGCAGCCGCGCCCGGCCCCGGCTCTGCAGCGGGAGGCTGCTGCTCAGCTGCAGGATGTCCGCGGCCGCCGAGGGGCCCAGGAGCCTGCCAAGGGGGCACAGGGGGTTAGGGGCATTTATGGGGGTGTTGGGGGGCTCAGGGGGGGTGTCAGACCCCAGGCTGGGGCTGTGGACAAGCCCAGGTAGTGGATGGGGATTCCCAGGGGGGTTTGTGTGACCCCAAGGGGTCTCTGGCCACTGCCAGCAATGTCACTCACCGCTGCAGGGTCAGGGTGGGTTTGGGGATGTTCTCAGGGGGGTTTGGGGGTGTTCCCTGGGGTTCTGGGTGACCCCAAGGGGGTTTGGGGGTGCTCCCTGGGGTTCTGGGTGACCCCAAGGGGGTTTGGGGTTGTTCCCAGGGGTTTGTGTGACCCCAAGGGGTCTCTGGCCATTCCCAGCAGTGTCACTCACCGCTGCAGGATCAGGGGCGGGTTTGGCTGCCGTGCCCCTGGGTAGTGCACGTGGATGGTGTGGCCGGCGTTGGCCGTGAGCTGCCGCAGCGTGCGCTGGCTCCGGCCCAGCCCCTGGGCCAGGCGGGCGCCCCCCGGGCCGGCCCCCAGCCCCAGCCCCCCGTGCTCCGCGTGCCGCACCAGCAGAGGGTGGCTGGCAGGGATGTTCCCCGGGGACGGCGGGATGTCAGCTGGAATGGGGGAAACGGGGGGTCAGACACCCCAAAAACCACAGGGAGGGGAAAAACGGGGAGTCAGACACCCCAAAAACCAGGGGGAGGGGGGAAATGGGGGGTCAGACACCCCAAAAACCAGGGGGATGGGGGAAACGGGGGGTCAGACACCCCAAAAACCATAACGGGAATTGGGGGAAACACCGCAAAAAACACAGGGAGGAATTGGGAAATACCCCAAAAATCACAGGGAGGAATTGGGAAATACCCCAAAAGTCACAGGGAAGAATTGGGAAATACCCCAAAAATCACAGGGATAAATTGGGAAATGCCCCAAAAAACACAGGGAGGAATAGGGGGAAACACCCCAAAAAACACAGGAAGGAATTGAAAAACACCCCAAAAACACAGGGAGGAATTGGGGGTCAGGGGGAAAACACCCCAAAAAACATGGAGAGTGGAAGAACTGGGGGGTCAGGGGGTGACCCAATTCCTGCCCACCCCAAAATCTACAGGAAAACAAAACTAGGGGGCTGGGGGTGAGGGTGTGACCCCTTCCTGACCCCCCAAGGTGACAAACAGGGGTGGGGACACCCCATTTCCCTCCCCACCCCAATCCCACAGGGAGCCCAACACCCCCAAGTCACTCCAGCCATGCAGCACCCCCAGAGCCCTGGGGACCTCCCAGTCCCTCCCAGTCTCTCCCCGTGTGCCCAGATTCCCTCCCAGTTCCCTCCCAGTGCTCCCCAGTGCCAGAGAACATGTTGTCAAACTCGATGATGAGGTCGTCGTCGCGGTCGAAGCGCTCGAAGCGCACGAGGGGCGAGGCGTTCATGTCGGGGTAATCCTCATCCAGCTCCATCTCTGAGCCATCATCGTCATCCTCCTCCTCCTCACCTTCCTCACCCTCCTCATCGTCCTGGCAGGGCCCGTCAGGGGGTCAGCAGGCCCCAAATTGGGGGGGTTTTGTCCCAAAATAGAAGGGCCTGGGCCCAAATGGCATCCCCTGACCCAAAACTGGGGGCAGCTTGACCCAAAACAGGGACCCCAATGCCAAAACAGAGCACCCCAACACCAAAACAGGACCCCAACCCCAAAAGTCATGTCCTGACCCCAAAACAGGGGCACAGCCACAGACAGAACCCCATTACTTAGCATGGACCCCGACCTTTGAGGGTGACCCCAAAGTTTTGGGGGAACCCCTGAGTTTTGGGGGACCCTCAGCGCCCCACCCCCCACCTGATCATCCTCATCCTCCTCTTCCTCCTCCTCCTCCTCGTCCTGGCTGTCATCCTCGTCCTCGTTGCTGCCGCTGCTGTCCTCCTCCTGCGTGTGCTCCTCCTCATCCTCGGGGTCCAGGATGTTCATGGAATCTGTGGGGAGGGGGGAGAGGGGGTCTGTAGGACCCCAAGACCCCCTGTGACACCCCCAAATCCCCGACCCAAATTTGCCCCCTGATCCCACAGGCAGCCCAAAGCCACTCCAGCCCTGCAGCCCCCCCAAAGCCCTGGGGACCTCCCAGTTCCTCCCAAACCCCAAACCCCAAACCCCAGTCCCCGTGCCCACCTTCACGGTTGGCCTGCAGCGTGGAGGCCTGGCTGAGGTTCGACGGAGCCTCGTCCATCAGAACATCCTCCTGCGACTCGTCCTCGGCCGAGCGGCTCACTGGGGACAGGGGACATGGCCAGGGGTCACTCTGATGGCCGGGGATCACCCTGACGGCTGGGGGTCACTCTGATGTCCAATTGTCACCTCAATGTCCAGGGGGTTACTCTGATGTCCAGGGGTCACCCTGACATCTGGGGGTTCCCTAATGTCCAGGAGTTCACTCTGTTGTCCAAGGGATCACCCTGATGTCCAGGAAATTCCTGATGTCCACCCAATGCCCAGGGGTGACCCCAACATCCAGTGGTCCCCTTCCTGCCCAGTGGTCACTGCTGTCCAGCGGTCACTCCGCTGTCCAGTAGTCACCCCTCCTGCCCAGTGGTCACTGTGCTACCCAGTGGTCACCCCAGTGTCCAGTGGTCACTCTGCTGTCCAGTGGTCACCCCAGTGTCCAGTGGTCACTCTGCTGTCCAGTGGTCACCCCAATGCCCAGTGGTCTCCCCAGTGTCCAGTGGTCACCCTGCTGTCCAGCGGTCACTCTGTTGCCCAGTGGTCTCTCCAGTGTCCAGTGGTCACCCCAGTGTCCAGTGGTCACTCTGCTGTCCAGTGGTCACCCCAATGCCCAGTGGTCACCCCAGTGTCCAGCGGTCACCCTGCTGTCCCTCACCAATGATGGTGCTGTTGCCATCAGTCCAGTGGTCACCCCAGTGTCCAGTGGTCACTCTGCTGTCCAGTGGTCACCCCAATGCCCAGTGGTCTCCCCAGTGTCCAGTGGTCACCCTGCTGTCCAGCGGTCACTCTGTTGCCCAGTGGTCTCTCCAGTGTCCAGTGGTCACCCCAGTGTCCAGTGGTCACCCTGCTGCCCAGCGGTCACTCTGTTGCCCAGTGGTCACCCTGCTGCCCAGCGGTCACTCTGCTGCCCAGTGGTCTCTCCAGTGTCCAGTGGTCACTCTGTTGTCCCTCACCAATGATGGTGCTGTTGCCGTCGGCGCCGTCCCTCTCCAGCAGCTCGTCAATGAGATCCTCCAGCTCATTCTCTACCTGAGGGGGCACAGGGGGAGTTTAAGGATGCTGGGGGGTACTTGGGGGTCTCGGGGGATTTGGGGAGGGGTCCCTGACCTGCATCTCCTGGGTGCTGAGCCCCTCGGGCTGCCCGGCCAGCACCACCGTGTCCCCCTCGGCCTCGCCGTCCATGTCCCCGTCGGCCGCCTCGGCCTGCGCCGCCTCCGCGTCCTCCTCGGGGGGCTCGGGGTCCCCGGGGTCCCCTGGGGGACAGGGGTGTCATGGGGGGTGGAGGGGGGACAGGGGGGAACCCTG